TGCTAGACGAGTCCTGGACAGACCTCGGCATACACCCCGGCTCGAGAGCCCCAAAAGCGGGTGATGCCTGGCCGTACAGTCCACTAGGAGAGCACGCAGAGGATCCTCACCATGTACCGCCGGTCCGAACTTCCAACCAAGCTTGGGCCAAGACGCTTAGTGCTAGTGCTAGTGCTAGTGCTAGTGCTAGTGCTAGTGCTAGTGCTAGCGCTAGTGCTAGTGCTAGTGCTAGTGCTGGTCGTAGTAATATCCAAACCCTAAACCCTAACCCCTAAACCAATCATAGTAACAAACCCTAAACCAATAATAGTAATAAGCCCTAAACCAATCATAAACCCTAAACAATAATAGTAATAAACCCTAAATCAATAATAGTAATAAACCCTAAATCAATAAAAGTAATAAACCCTAAACCAACAATAACAACAAACCCTAAACCAATAAAAATGATAATCATAAACCCCATAGTAATAAACTCTAGACCAATAATAATAACTAACCCTACACCAATAACAATAATAATCTTAAACCCCATAGTACTAAGCCCTAAACCAATAATAATAAGAAACCCTAAACCAATAACAATAATAATCTTAAACCCCATAGTACTAAGCCCTAAACCAATAATTCTACTAGTGTTGATCCTGGCCGAAGCTGCGCCCTGGCCACGGACCATGGCAGCCGGACAGTGAAGGTCGAAGAGTTCGTCCATGGGCCGGAACCTGAGACGATGTAGCATTTAGGGCTTAGGGTTTAGGGTTGAGGGTTTAGGGTTTAGGGCTTAGGGTTTGGGGTTTGGGGTTTGGGGTTTAGGGCTTATTGTTTGGGGTTTAGGATTTTGGGTTTGGCGTGTAGGATCTAGGGACTGGGGTTTAGGTTTTATGCTTTGGGCTGTAGGATGTACGGACTGCGGCTTGGGGTTTAGGCTTAGGGGCTGGGCTCGGGGTTTCGGGTTCAGGGTGGTGTGCGGTTTTTCGGGACCCAGAGAGTCCAATACACCTTAATTAAGGAATATACCTTGAATTATAGGGGTCTTAATATTATGATTCAAGCTATATTCCTTAATTAAGGGGTATTGGGCTCTCTAGATTTTCGGGATGTAGACCGAGGCTACAGTGCTTCAGAACCGGGAATGTTCATGTGGAACTATGGCGTGTGTTTATAGGTGTGTGTGAGTATGTGTTAAGACTTGTGTGTATGTGTGTATACATATATACCTCTGCATATGTATTTATTTGGTTATCTATTTAACTTTTTGGTTATTACTCATTTATTATCTGCTTATTTGTTGATGTTGTATTTCATACATACGTGCATATGTATGTATCTATATAACCACATGTTTATATATTTAATGTGTGTTTGTAGTTGCATACATGTAGCAGTAGCATCTCGCGCACGGTTATGTGTATGTACATATGCTATGACTACAGCCATCATTTCTTCGTGATCTACGGTAGTTCATCCATCTCATTCATCACAATGGAGTCGCACTTTTGGATAAAGGCCGGGATGCGGGATGATGTCCAAGTCCAGGAGCAAGACCTTCCTCAGATTGGACTCCCTACACGGGAACTTCGACACGAAGCTTTGAGCCTGCCGCTAACTGGGCTGAAAAAGGGGCGTCACGAGGGTTTCAGGGGTATTTGGTTTAGGGCCTTTTTTTTTGAACACTTTTTCCCACCCAGCAATCCGAGCAGAGAGCCCCAATGGGGCAGGCATCTGTTTGGGGTTCAGGGTTTGCAGGGTTTTGCTTCGGAAATGAATCCAAGTTAAACGCGGCAAGGAAAGGATATTGTACACCATACAATCCATTATGGTGGCCTGAAGCAAGGTTTTGTTGCACGCAGAGAGAAAACCCCTTTTAAAACCCTGCAGCACCACAAATGAGATCGAATACTGAGAGAGTCGACTCGGTAAGTAGCTTACCGGTCGGAGAAACTGTGTTCTAGTTCCCCTGTTTCGGGTCCATGCTTATGAGCTTCCATGTTACCATACTACCCTAAACCCTAAACCCTAAACCCTAAAACCCTAAAACCCTAAAACCCTAAACCCAAAACCCTGAACCTTTTTCCTTGGGGCCCTACATGAAACCGCCTTAGACTCTAGAAACCCGCCAGGATGGCCCTGGCAAAAAGCTACAGAAAACGCCCCTTTGCGGACCATTGTGATATAGTTGCCTTAATAATGAGAAGAAGGTTTTGGGGCCCATTACTTGGAGGTTCATGGGTAGTTATAAGTAGGGTTATAAGCCCCCTAATATGGGTTATAATTATAGTTAGCTTACTTATAACTCCACTTATAACTACCCATGAGCCTCCAAGTATACTATAGTTATTAAACGTAATAAGGAACCCCCACAATAGTATAGGTAATTAACTTAGGCCGCTCCATTAAGCACGTTTATGACCCCTAGACCCTTATTGTAGCCCTTCTAGAACCCTTTAAAGAACCCTTTGAAGGAA